TCCAGGTAGCATTAGCAGAGCAGAATGCTTTACTCTTGAACTGAAGTCTTTATTATCGTTATGCAGAGCAGGAGGAGCACTCTGACTCGGTGCCATAACCACATACACAACAGCGACATCTGTAAAGCAACAGCGTAGATACTAAAATATGCAACAAAACAGGCTAAAAATACCATTTCTGCTAAAAAAACTACTATAAATTTGCATAAAACACAATCCCTTGTTGTAGGGGGTGCAGCAGGCACCTTTCCTGAAGAGAAAACTCATGAGAAGGAACGCTCCTGTGGTCAAATGGATTCTTGCTGTCCACAGGTAGCTGGCCTTCGGCCTATTGGTTCTGCTCCTCCGGGCCCTGAAGCATCTCCCTGATGGAAGTGTTTGCAGTAGCTGGTGTCCAGGGTGAGAGGAGTCTGCCACCATCCGTTGTGCTCTACTTAAACATCTGGAGCTGGCAACGCTGTCCAGAGTGGACAGGGCAAAGCCAGTGTTCCTTTCTGATGTACAAATAAGTTCCTGCTGCCGTGCAGACGGTTAACCACACAGTGATGGAGTACGCCAGCTCTGATTCAATACTCGCATCTCTCCGTGCACGCCGGTGCACACCGGTGGAATCTCAGATGTGGAGCAGCTCTCTGCCGTGCTCCTCGCTTAACTCCACCATTCAACCGAAAAGAAGGAAATGACATTTGATATTGCTGTTTTATGTCATTTTAGATGCTGTTCCCCTCCACTGCAGGATAAAGCCATGAAAGACACACTGCTGCCCTTCTGGAGCCGTGCTGGGAGTAAAAAAGCTGTTAGGTCACTTGTATTGATGTAGAATACATACATATGAAGTCTCGTCGCTGCAATAGTCTTTTATTTTGAAAATTACCGTGGGGTTTGCACTGAAACTGTGTGATTTCCTGTCTAGCTCTGTTAATTATAGAAATTGTCGTGTTCCAGAAACGGCTCATGGCAAAAATAGAACCGATCCTTTCTTTAAAACTCTAGTTGACTCCAATGTGAAGCTGTGTGAAGTAGGGGTACACCACGGGTACACCACGGGTACACCACGGGTACACCACGGGTACACCACGGGTACATCTGGCTCAGGGAGGGTGATGTCTGTAGGTCTGAATCATTGCCGTTATCTCCTGGAAAAACAGGCTTGCTGCACACGTGTCTCTTCCGTTTTTCTGGTTGGGGACAAGGAACCGTCTGTGAGGCACCTAAAGGTGCTTTTAGAGTTCGATCTGAACCATACTCGTGTCTGATTCTTCTGGTTCCTGTCCAGGTAATAAAGTCACTCAGAAGGGTTGAAAAGGGTTTTGTTTTGTCTCCGTCTCTGCGTCCCTGCAGTCGGATTGAGTGGGTGTGGCTTCACTGGAGCGAGTATCTGAAGGCCTATGAGGAGTTCCAGCTGTGGCTGGAGAAGCAGCGCTGTGTTCTGCATGTCGACCTGGAGCATCAGCTGGACCTGAAGGAGAAGCTGTGGCAGGTGGACCAGCAGCAGGTGGTGCTGAGTGATATCCACAGCCAGGGGGCGCTGTTGGAGAGGCTGCTGGATGAGGCAGCAGCTCTGCACAGCAGGATCCAGGACCCTAGCGTGGACCTCCAGGCCCAGCAGAAACTGCAGGAGGACTACAGGGATGTGCGGGACCGAGCCAAGGTGGGACATTCTTGAATACACGTGGATCTCTACCAACTTGATGAGAGACAAAGATTCTGATCTTTAGCAAACTGGGTACTGGGTCGGAACCAGTTTTATCTGATTCTAGAGCCTCTTCATTTCCTGGAGCTCCGCATGTTCTGAACATGTTAAAGTTTTTCTTTCAGTCGGATGATGTCCAATGATCTGTAATGGGTTCATTTCAGCAGGTCATGGTTCTGGTTCTGCTATGTGTTCCCATAGGATCGTCTGGCACTCCTGCAGAAGATCAGTGATGACCACAAGATTTTTGACAGCAATGTTAAGGAGTTCCAGTCATGGCTGCTGTCCAAGACCAGAGAGCTAACGGAGCTAGCGGGCCAGATTGGCACCATCCAGAACCGACTACAGGCCCTAAAGGTGAGAAGAGCAACACGGGTAAGACTAGATCAGACAAGCAGAACCAGCTGAGACCAGGGGAGCTGCGCCAGAGGTTCAGGATCAGAAGGAGCTCCTGGTCTGGCTCCTCTTTCTTAACTGGATCTAAAGATGTGTGAGAAACGTTCTGATCTATAGAACACAACGTGACGGGAAGATGTGTCTGGTCCTTACACACACACGCACACACACACACACACACACACACACACACACACGCACACACACTAACCCTAACTAACCAGTGGAGCTTAGTGACATTGTCCCAAAGTGAGGGCCACCAAAATGTCCTCGGTTAGATGTATAGACGAGTAAACACACACACACACATCCATGATGGTAAATGGTCTGTATTTGATACGGCGCCCTCTAGAGTCCTGGAACCCCCGAAGGCGCTTTATGACAATCAGTCATTCACACATTCACACCCTGGTGCTGATGAGCTACATCGTAGCTACAGCTGCCCTGGGGCGCGCTGACAGAGGCGCCGCCGGCCCCTCCGGCCACCACCAACACAACTCTTACATATTTGATGTTCTCCTGAATGTTCTTCAGGTTTTGACCTGTTGTCGTTTCTCAGATTCTGGATGACAGCGTGGCCTGTGAGGAGAAGACTCTCCTGCACATCGAGGCCTTGGTGGACTGCGTCCAGGCCAACACGTCTCCTGCGGGGGCCGAAGCCGTTCAGGAGCAGGCTGAGGAGCTCAGGCTGGGCTGGCAGCGCCTCAGGCAGGCTCTCTGTGAGGCCCAGGATGGCCTTCACTGCAGATTGGACTCCCACAGTCAGTACCTGACCCGCTGCCAGAAGCTTGGAGAGGACATTGGTGGCCTCAGGGAGCTGCTGCAGGGTCTGGACCAGGAGCTGGACGAGAACCAGGAACCAGAGACGTCGGAGGAGAAGATGGTGGGACAGTGGAGGAAATACTCGGTATGGTGGGTGGAAGTGTTTCTGATCAGGAACGTTAGTCTGAGTTTAGGAAGAGCTGCAGAAGACACCAGATGTTTAAACAAAATCTGGTTTCCATGGAGATCAAACCTGAAATCATTCCATCTGGTGTCCTTAATGTTTGACTGACAGGTTTCTGAGCCGAAACAGCTCACCATGAAGCTGGGGCTCCAGCTGCTCAGGGATAGGTTGACCCTCAGCCTCCACGGAGCTAGATGTCTGCAGGTGTTAGGGAGACTTACCTGGTGGGGTCCTAAGTGTGATTAAACCAGAGGCCCAGCTGCATAATGGGTCATGGTTCTGTGGTGGTATGACCTCTGGCCTTCGGGTTGTGTGTGGGTGTGTTCCAGGAAGTGAGGAGGACTCTGGTAGGTGAGGACTCTCAGGTGGATCTTCTGAAGTCTCAGCTGAAGGAACTCTTCAGGTTTTCTGAGGATTCTCGTCACCTGTCTGATGATGTGCTGGCTGTCGTCAAAGAGCATCAGAGGTGTGTGTGTGTGTGTGTGTGTGTGTGTGTTTCCTGAGATAACGTGCTGCTCAGTGGCCGTTTGTGAAAAAGCGGGGGGGGGGGGGGTCGTCATTTTTTTCACTTTTATTAACCAAACCTTCAGCGTGCTTTTGTGTGCGGACCGCAGGTGTTCTGCACCGAACCCTTCTGACCGACAGGAGGGTTGTGCTGACATGGGGGTGCAGCGCTGCGCGGGGTTATTGAACCGTTTCGGGTTTTTTCCATTAAATAATGAATTTTTCACACAGTTGCGTGATTTAAGTGCAGCGGATAAAAGTTCCTCTGCGAGTCTCCGCACGGACGCATGATGGCTGCACGCGCCCGACCTCCGTTTAAAAAATGTGATGTGCAAATTCTGATCAACGTGTTTCAGGGCGGATCGGACCGGCTGGAGTCTGAAGAGACTCTGAGCTTCGTGTCGCCTCTCCTTCCCTTCGCTCACACGGAGCAGGCACGCTGCAGCAAACATGTAAACAAACATGTCTGCTGAACTTTGCGCTGTGACTACTGATGTCAAGTTTTCATCCTACAACAAAACACGGCGCGGAGCGGAGGACGCTCGTTATTTCAGACCAGTTCTACAGGAGAAACTCTGGCGGGGTGAGGTGAGGGGTGAAGAAATGAAAACACGTCAAACACAGCTGCACAAATCATGGTCATAAATACGCAGACGCCTCATTGGGCGCTGGAGAGTGTACCAGCTTCGCCGCCATGTTGGAGTCGATGCAGATGAGCAAGCATGGCGTTCCTGTGCAGCCCCCGGCTACAACAGCGTACTAATGAAAACAGATCACATGGGATCACTAGTGGCTGTTCTAGCCTTTTATATTTAGTATTTATTTTTATTTAATGATGTTTATATTATCTTGCCGTACCTTGCGTTTGATTTTATGAAAATGCTGATAAAACGTGTTTTTTAGTTGGGTAAGCAGCTTCCTCCGTAGAAATGAAGGCACTGGGGGCTGTTCTATCTAAGATGGCGGTCGGACGCTACAGCGTCTCCAATAGACAGCGCCAGTCCACGGGGCATCTACGTATATATGTCTGTGGCGCAGATACCCTGTGTCATAATGAGACATCATGCTAGATTAGCAGCCTGTGATGACGCCTGGTTCTGCTCACTGTAGGAGCTGCTTCAGATATTAAATAAATAAATATTATCATAATATACAGAAAATTCATCGAACCGAGCCTTTCAAAACACTGAACCGAACCGAACAGGAGTTTAGTGAACCGTTACCCTCGGAGTTACACCAGTAACTGAATTGTTAGATCTGGTTCTTGGGTT